TGAACTCCTACGTAGCCCCTGAAATCCCTATAGTTTTTTTTTTTTTTAAATCTTGTGCACAAAAGTTATTTTCTTGTTGGAACAAGATATTTATTCTGAGAAGATATTTGTGTCTTAATCACTTGGATGCACACAGCCACCAGATTTGCACCATAGCATGGAGAAAACTGGACGCAGGATGGTCACAAATCATTTGCTGCGCATACTGAAGGAAAACAGGCTCAGCCGACAGACGGATTATGTCTCAGTCACAATACTTAGAAATGAGAAAACTCTTAAAAGCTATAAAACGCAACTTAGTGTTGTTTTCAAAGAATCAGCCAGTCATGTCATTACTACACAGATATTAAAGGTCCAGTGTGTAAGATTTAGGTGAAAGGGAAATATTGGCAGAAATTTAATGTAGAATAATTCTCATGATGTTTTCACTAGTTTGTTTCATCTAATTTTTATGAATTATAGTTTTCTTGACCCCAGAAAAGGCCCTTTATATTTAAATACTTTATATTTACATCGAGGGGACCCTCTCTACGGAGGCCGCCATGTTTTTTACATTAGTCCAGACTGAACAAACTAAACACCTTTTGAGTTTTTATGACAATTAAAGTCTACCACTGGTTCTTTTTCATGTTTGGAAGCAGAGGGTGAGGTGAGGGGTGTTCAGCTGCAACATTCAATTGCAACACTAAATATTACTAAATTCTACATACTGTACCTTTAACTTGTTCATGTTGTTTCCACAAGAAACTAATTTGTGTGTCATGATCTTTAGGATAATATCTAATGGACTCGTGGACAACAGCTTCCATTTTGTCTCTCACATCAAACACATTGTCGTTAATAATTGTTGTCAACAGCCAGAAGGTCATACGTCTGCATGGGACATTACAAATTAGGCCCGCATCATGTGCACATACGCTGTCCATTACAGCATGAACTTCAACACGATAATTACCATGGTGTGTAACGAGAGGAGCTAAAGGAAGCAATAGGCGATGTCATGGCTTGTAAGGGAAATTTCCTCATCCTCACGCATTAAGAAATGATGACAGGACAAATGTAGTGTTGACCCTTAAAAGCAACCGCACATCCTGCTCAAAAATATAAACACAGATTTTTCATCTGCCACATTAAAAGCTACTTTACCAACTTAAATTTATGAATTTCCATGATTTTATCTATTGTATTTATAAAATTAACACACCCTTTTTAATAAGCTACTTCAGTTTAAGAGTTTGTTCCAGTCACATTGTTAAACTGGCGACAACTATTTCAGGTTTTCATAAGCACGACAGAAACTCAAATCTGCTTACATTTCTACATTGTTTTAAATCATCATTATAAACCATTTATCAAGTGTTTATAAATAAATGTTGTACTTATAAATGCTCAGTGGGGGGAATTAAAACTTGAAAAGGTTCTGTTATTTAACTATAGTTACCTCTACCAAGGCTAGTCTCCACAGGCTACATTGTTTTTTTTTGCTTGTTTGTCTAAAGGATGGGACATGGGCAAAGAAAGAACTTGTTACATTTAAGCATAGATTCAGCCAAAAGGGCAGATCCAGGATTTGTTTTTTCTCAGATTTCTCAGGAAATTATTTATGGATCAAAATGAAGGAATTAGCAGACTGATATCCATGAGTGTGTGCAGTTTGGTTTAAGGGGACTGTTGTGCCTTTACAGGGGAATCTACCACATGCCATAGCTTAAAATGCAACAGATATATATTTTATACATGAATAAACTTGCTTTAATAGATTTTAATAATAGAAAAACAAGACTAAGAGACATGTTCTAGCCATGGTTACAACCCAGTGAAATTGTACATACACTAAGCAGTCCTGTGAGTTAAATACTAAATGCCATCGTGTGAAGATGCCCTAAATGACCATAATAGTGTTAACGTGCTCATGTTTAGCAAGAACAATGTTTACGTGCAGCTGAGGCTCATGGGAAAGTAATTTGTTTTATACTGGCATAACTTGGACCTGGAGGTGATGCTGGTGGAAATGTGTTTATCAACATTGTAAGATTTTATCTGGATGGTGTTTGACACTGAATGACTACTTAACTTCATGGAAAATGTTGATGTTTAAATAAAAACCCCAAGTCATTAAACCTAATGGTCCACATACTAACTAGATACATACCGTCTGTGAGAGACAGTGGGCCCCAGCTAAAAACACTGGCACACGACTGTTATCACCAGTGGTGGAAGCTATCTGCTGTGTCCATGTGTCTCAACACACAGTGTACTGACACTCCCAGTCTCCATCCTTCTGCACAACCTATAGTTTTAACACATTATTTGGGGAGGACAAAAAAAAACATAGTTGAACGAGACTAAGACACAGATCCAAATCCTGTCAGATTTTAAATAAGTCTTTAAATTGACAAAGCTTTTCATGAATGAAGTGCCTGAACGGAACCAGGTATGGAAGAATATAACATAAAAACAGCTATATGTGAAGCAGAAGACATGTGGACCTAGGACGTGCAGCAAGAATAAGATAAAAAGAAGATGAAGAGAAAATCTGATTGGTTGAAATGCACCGTGACAAGTTTGCCAATGTCTGTGGTTGATAGTGCTGCAGAGCAATTTCAAATGTCAGCTTAACCAATCACAAACCACCAAGTTCACATGGCCTCAGTGCTTCTAATTTCGATTCACCCATTAACTGGATGATTTCATGTTTATAAAAATTAAATCAGAGCAAATTTTACAAAGAAGACTTTGATATCAAAGTGATCC